CACCCCCAAATGTGATTATTAATTCAAAGGGTCAAAAGACCTCTGTGGGTCAGGTGTCGATTTTGACAGAAGCCCAACAGCAAGTTAATGCTTCCTTTCATAAAGAGTGCACCCCTCTAAAATAAAATCCCTGGTTAACAACAAAAAAGAACATACCCAATAACTATGTCAGGAAGGTGGCAGGCCCAAAACCCAGAGGGGTGCCCCTGAGCAGAGGCTGTCTCTCTGCCAGATATGTCTGTCAGCAAAATCACGTCATAGAGAATTGTGGTTCAGCGGGTTTTGAAGCTCCAGTGATAAGAGCTGGCCACCACCTGCTAGGTTCCTCTGGGCCCCACTCACAGGCTGCTAATTTGCAGATTAGCTAAGATAAAGAATGAAGAATTATTCCCAAACAAGCACATCCTGTCTTTAATACCCAGAGTCCAGTGAGTGCCAGGCCTCCATATGGGTGACGGCTGTGGTGGGCGGGGGTGCAGAGACAGCATTTTTGCCTTGATCATTGGAGGAACTGATCACTGTGCATCTGCCACGTCATCCCAAGAAACTTACTTGGCAAGCAGGTCCCTGAATTTTGTGCAGTTTATCAGTCGTATTTGTTTTGTGCTAACCCTGCAGCCAGGGCATGAAACCAAGGCTTCTGACTTATGAGCAGGGTACCATCTATATAGTGAAAGCTTTGGACAGCAGAGAGTACAGGCACTCAGTGGATGAATTCTGCCCACTACTGGCAGCAAATGAAGGAGGTTTAGATACTTTTTATCACTTCCTGTTGTTACCTATCTTTTTACCAGTTCCTGTTGTTACACAACAGAGCTTTAAACACCACCAATGGGGCCTCCCTGGTGGCCCAAGATATTAAGCACAGCACTGTGAAGCTATCCACAGCCTCTGCAGCACAAGTTTGATCCCCAGCCAGGAAGCTGACCCACAGGGTGCAGCAGACCTCTCCTCCCTCGGCTGCTGCTCCCCTCAGCAGTGTATTTCAGTCAGTCTGCCTGTTCAGCTCCCCACTCTGTCTCTGGTGAATCCTCTCATCCCCCACCCCTCTGGCCTGTACCCTGGTTCTTGCAGGCATAAATAAATAAATCTTTAAAAAAATTAAAATAAAAGGGGAAAGCAAGGACTCCCAGGTGACTTGAACCTGGAAGGCACAAAGACACCATTTGGGCCTTTGTCTAGGAGATATTTAAACCTTTTTTCTCTATTATAAAATCTTATCATCTTACTTTGTGATGGGCTCTCTCTCCCAGCTACATACTCCTCCAGGCAGATATGCCCATTTTCCCAGCTCTTATCTTAGACTTCCTCCTTTGGCCTCCCCAGCCCAAGGTCTTACTCTCTTGTGTTGCTACCCTTGGTTTTTAGTTCTCCTGGACTTTCTGACCTCATCTCTGGAGTATGAGTTGGTTAGCATCTTAGAATTTACTGTCCTAATAAGCCCTCCTGGATTTCTCTGCCCTTATCTCAGAAGCCTCTTTAATTCTTCCCAAGGCCTTGCCTGCACTGTCCCTGAAGCTGACAACTTAACCCTAACTTGCCCTGGGACTCACTAGTTTTTACGCTGGAGGAAAGGTTTCCTTTCTCCCTTCCCCTTCCCTTTCCCAGCCCTCCCCTCCCTCTTTCTTTTGTGCCAATTAATAAGAAAGAATTGTAGCAATGGATATAGACTGAGAACCAGGAGGTTGATTCAAATCAGCTGCCCATATGGTGTCTTAGTTGCCTCTAAACTACAGACTGGGATACCCATCTGGTGGTTAGCACAAGGGCTTCTGTCAGTATTTGGAACCATGTAGGTTAGAACCTCGAGGGCTGCTTCCCTTTCCCCTTCTTATCAGCCCTCACTTCTCTCCAACCAAGGCCCCGAGAGTCCTATAGCCCAGGCTCCATTCCCAGCTTCCTCCAACTCTTTTTTTTTTTTTAAAGATTTATTTATTTATGCATACAAGAACTGGGGTACAGGCCAGAGGTGTGGGGAGAGGTGAAAGGATTCACCAGAGACAGAGTGGGGAACAGAACAAACGGATCAACTGAAATACACTGCTGAGGGGAGCAGCGGGTGAGGCAAGAGAGGTCTGCTGCGCCATGTGGGTAGCTCCCTAGCCAGGGATCAAACTCGCGCTGCAGTGGCTGCGGATTGCTTCATAGGTTGCGTCTTAACCCCTTGCGCCACCAGGGAGGCCCTCCTACTCTCTTCTTTCAGCTCATTTTCTTCACACAAAAATCTATCAATATCACACAATATCTATCACATATCTTCTTCTATCTTAGTGTAGTTTCCTTGCCCCCACACACACCCTGAATTCAGAATGTTCTTCAGTCTCTATCATCAGAGCTGAATAAGTTTCTCTTCCCAGGCTTCTCTATTTTGGGACTTCACATTGTATCATAGTGGCATATGGCGCTGCTCTCCTGTGGAGATGGCAGGTTTCCTCTGCTATCCCAAAGTAGAACATTTCTATTGGGTATGAGGTAATAATTCATTTTTAGGATCTGAGAGCACTCAAACATTATCCCATATAAAGCGGTAACAGTGTCCCCAGATCCAAAAAATAACCTATCACATCATACTGAGAGGGACTGAGACCAGGAGGGCTGGGGAAAGGGAAAGGCTGTATAGAACAGAAGGAACAAAACAGCTCCCAGGAAAATAGAAGTGTTTTACTGCAAAATTGCTGAGCTGGCCACCACCTAGAGTAAGTTCGGGTTACAGGATAATTAGGGAACAGGAAAATAACCACCATGAAACTTCCCGATCACCTAGTGCCTGATCAATAGTCTGGCACGCTGGACAACAGGAGTCTGACTCTATAGTCACAGACAGGCTGGAGGGAACGGGCATCCTTCCTGGACCCTCCTGCTGACAGGAGTTCTTTACTCTTGCTTCAATAAATTCACACTTGCTGCTCTCACGTTTGGTGTGGCAGCTGTTATTCCTCAACTGTGTACACACCCAGACCCATGAGCATCCACTCTCCTAACAATACTAAATAGGAATGCTTTATTTTGGGATAGTCAGGGCAACCAGGTGCAGTGAGGTTTTCTACCAACAAAATACCTTTATTCAGAAATGAGAACGAACGAAACTTGGTAAGGGCAGTTTCAGGGTTAAATGCACACTCGCTTCCCTTAACCTAATCACCAGTAGTACCTCTTCACATAGCCTCTGGAGGGGCTACCGCGCTGCCTTCCCCTGGGGCAGGAAAACAACACCACTTCCCATTGGAGATGCAAATGTTGGGTCCCGTAGTCTGCTGATCATAGATGTGTGAGCTCTCTCTTCTCGCCTCCTGGCCTCATTAAAATATGTTTCATGGGCCTCCCTGGTGTACAGGGGCTAAAGACATAGTGCTATCAAGCTATTGCCAGCCATTGTGGCCTGAGTTCAATTCCCTGCCAGGGAGCTAACCCACATGGCACAGCAGACCTCTCCTGTTCTGCCCGCTGCTCCCCTTAGCAGTGTATTTCAGTAGATGTGCCTGTTCTGCTCCTCACTCTCTCTCTGGTGAATCCTCTCACTACCCGCATCCCTGGCCTGCACCCCAGCTCTTGTATGCATAAATAATGTAAATCGGCAAAAATAAATAAATAGGTTTCAGAATATTCATTTTCACACTTGTATAAACTCCTGTAACTGTTAACTTGAGTTTCTACGCCAAACCAAGTATTCTACTAAGTGTTGCTAAGACTTGCAAAGATGGAAAAAACTGCCCCTCCCAATCTTTCTCTCCAAATCTATAGTCATAATGCTTAGTGAATGAATGAACAAAAGCCTTATTTATCCCATATCTCTTTGCTCATTCTCAGGATTTGAGGATCAAATCAAATTGGCAAACTATGGGGAGTTGGGGAGCTGCTTAGTTTTGTAAATAAAGTGATTTGGAATGGGGGGAGGGTAACATCCTGTCTTTATTGAAAGGTTCATTTAGTTTTTTCACAGTTAATTTGCCATCCCCTCCCCCAGCCTATTTTCAAGTTGATCTGAAGATGGAGGTAATCTACATGACTCATTCAACTTCATTCTTTTCCCAAGCCTTCCCACCCAACTGTCCCACTGACTTTACTGGAGCCTCAGCCCACAGAAATGAATCGACAGAGCACTGTGCCAGGTACCTCGGGAACAATGAGAGGTGTTCCTGCCAGCCATGCAGATCAGAGACACCAGTGTGGAGACTTGAAAGCAGAGGGTCTAATTTCAGGCTCCACTGTGGCAGAATGTGGGTTTTCGCAAGGCTTACCATCAAAGGGCCTATTTCCTCATCGACAGAGACAGAAAAACAATTCCTACCTTAGGGAGAGTTTGTGAGAATTTAATGGAAACTGTATTTACTAAAGTATTTTGTAATTACAAAACCCTAGGCCAATAGGAAATGTAAAAACAAATAAAACCAGTCATAATACAAAACGAAATATGTGCTAATTAAGTGGAAAGAAAATAAAGTGCTTTCTGTTGATTTAATAGGGAAAAAAGACATCTCTGAGAAAGGTTGAAGTGGGTTCGAGTAAGTGGCCAACGTAAACAGAACTTTACCTGGAGCAGTTCCTCTCTACTCGCCCACCTTTGCCTGCTGTCATTAGGTCACGCGTGTATCTCCCACTGTGCCTTTCTTTTCTAAAATCCTTTGTGCCTCCACGTCTCTTTTTCTGGAGTCCTGCGAAGGTCTCATTTTTCTCCTTTGGGCTCTAGGTGATTGTGATTACTCAGAGATAATTCAATCCTCTTTAGAACTGGAAATACTGAAAGATCCCAGCGATAGGTGGGACCGGAGGTTACCAATGGATAGCAAGGGTGGCGTAGTGGGGCGTGGCAGGACCCCTTCCTTTTAGGTTTTCTTTTTGTTATGGACTCTCGACCTTGGTGGGCCCACAGCTTGACTGGACCGTTCTGCAGGCTGACGTGGTGGGCGTGCGGGCTTGAAGGGGGCGGGAACGCGCCTGGAGATCTAGGCCTGGGCGGGGCGGGACCGGGGCGGGGTTTCGGGCTGCGCGAGCCGGCGACCCGCAAAGCGTGCGCGGGGTTGGATCCGGCTTCCCGCGGGCCTCCGGAAACCCTGCACCCAAAGTCCCAGCCCTCGGGAGTGAGTTCGCGGCAGTGGAAGTTGATAGAGGGTGTCTGGTACTACGCCCCTGACATCGGCGGGAGAAGGAAGCATTGCACCCCTAATCTGGAGGAGAGTCAACGTGGGGGTCCCCTGCAGGAAACCGGGGCGAGGCAGGGGTGTGGCCCTGAGGGCTCGGCGCCACGGAGGCGCTCCTGCACGTGTTGAGAAGTTCGGAACCTAGAGGTGAAGTTTGGGGCTCACGGGCATCGGACAATGTAGTCGCCGTCGAGGAGACCAGTTCCGAGCACGCAGGCCGGGTTCGGTGGTGCGCCGCGCAATGGTGAGCAGGACTGCCCTTTGTGCTGACCCGGGGGAGCTTCACCGCAGCAATGCGGGGCCTGGGCGCTCAGTGACCGAGGTAAGGCCTGTGGGCGGGGGCCGCGGCCGCCCGGACCCCGACTGCTCGGCAGTCTTGGAAAGGTCCTTGAGGATTGAGCTGAGTCGGGAAGGCTGGCAGGGGGCAATTGCCCGAGGGTCATTTTACTTACTGTAGGACTGACAACTCAAATGGCTGCAACAAAAAAGAAAAAAAGGCAGGAACACCCGGGTGGGGCCGCCAGGGTGGACCCCAACGAGGCCTTGCAGGAGCGTTCTGGATTTCCGTGGCTCCCAGTGAGTGGCTTTAGGACACCACAGAAGGATTTGGGTTAGAGCGATCCAGTGGGCTCAGAGGAGTGGAAGATGACGACCCCGCCCCTCGGGGAATTTACACTTTGGAAGGGTGGGGACAGCCCCTGGAACACTGAGCCAAATACCCAGTCTCAAGTTGAGCTCTGGGATCTTGCAGGTATAAAAAGAACTGTGTGAGAAAGAGTGTGTGGAGCAATCCAGAGATCAGAAATTCTTGGTCCCCACCCCCACCTCACCCCGCAAACGGTCCTGCCATTTTATTTTATTTTAAAGATTTATTTATGCATACAAGAGCTGGGGGCAGACTAGAGGTGCAGGGGGTGAGAGGATTCACCAAGGAACAGAGCAGGCACATTGAGTGAAATACACTGCTGTGGGGAGCAAGCCTGGGCACAGGAAAGGTCTGCTGCACCATGTGAGTCACCTCTCTGGCCGGGGATCGAACTTATGCTGCAGTGGCAGCAGACATCCTCACAGTAATGACACTTAAACCCTTGCACCACCAGGCAGGCCACCATCCTGCCATTTTATTTTATTTTATTTATTTATTTAAGATTTATTTATTTATTTATACAAGCACTGGGTACAGTCAGAAGCATGGGAGGGTAAGAGAATTCACTAGAACCAGAGCAGGGAGCAGAACAGACAGACTGACGAAGTACACTGCTGAGGGGAGCAGCGGGTATGGGAGGAGAGGTTTGCGCACCATGTGGGACCCTCGCCTGCGGCCGGGGATCTAACCAGCACTGCAGAGGCTGCAGGCAGCTGCGCAGCCCAGCGTTCAACCGCCTGTGCCACCAGGGGAGGCCCCATCCTGCCATTTTAGAATCTGGACCTAGGGCCTCTGTCTAAACGCTGGACCCTGAGCCTTTCCTTCTGGAGAACAGGAAAGGATACTGTTATTGAAACTGCGTGGAAGTGTTACTTTTAACGTGACTGACTGGAGAGTAGAATAATCCAGAACTGCACACCTCACAGAATGATTGTGAATAGTCTTGAAAGGAGTCTGGACTCAACTTCAGATCACAGAAGTGCACCTTTTGTGTTAACATTTTTTTAGCGATCCCAGTAATAAGTCCATTGTCAAATGCCCTTTTCCTTGGCAGTATTTCACCACTAGTCAAAGAAAAAGACTGTGAAAGAGAAGAATCAACAGCTTTTAAGACTTTATTCTTTTCATTCCATCTCAATAGGGAGCGGAAGTGGAGTCAGTGGCAGTCACAGGAAGGGGTAGGAATTCAGTCCCGTATGCTTCAGAGCCCGACCTGCCCAGGGTGGTGGCAACTGCTGCTGGGCTTATCTTGAGCTCTGAATAAGTGTTTGTTGTTGGGTTCTTTTCAATATTATTCTTCACAAAGACCTGTATGTGTTAAAAATCTACAGAATTGTATATTTTTTTGGTCTCAGGCAGGGTCTTAGAGAGTGTCTCCCTTAGTGTCATTTCACAATGATACCAGATCAGAATGAAGAGATTGGTTGCTTCTGGCACAGTCTTTCTTTTCAGAATACTGGAGTTACTGTAGAGTTCCTTGGGACAGTGGAAATCAGGGGCCCCTTGATAGTCCAGGGCTTAAATACTAACTGCTATGGATCAAGAGTGTCCTTGTGCAAGTTACTAGGTGTCTCAACTTTTAAGTTCCTTAAAATGGGGCAAGTCGTTGCTAGCTCCGGGGGCTGTGTTGGGGTGATTCAGTGGTGCAGAGCTGGGGTCGATAACTTGAAGTCCTCTGACCAAATAAGGATGCTGTTGTTCCTAACTCCCCCTCTTGTGGATATGTTTTGTTTCTCTCTCACCTCAGGTTCTTAGAGGTGGGCACCAGCCAGTGGCTAGAAGCAGGTGAAACAAGGCAGACACCTTTGTATCTCCAACCAGATACTACTGGACAATGGCCACTGAGCCAATGGTGACCAGCTCCCTGAACGCTGTAGCCTAGGCTTTCAGAGAACCAAAGGTGTCCTCAGTTGTGGACACCTTGGAGCAGATATATTTATCCCAGGAGGAAGCCACGTCAAAACCTGGGGCTTCTGCAAAGCCTTCCCATCTGCCTTGTTACTGGGAGGTAGAGAGCTCCAGGAAGGAGTTTATTCAGTCCTGCTGGCCAGGCCATGAGTAGATGAAGCTATAAAGAAATACCATGGAAGAGGTGTTTGACCTACTGAAGCTGATTGAATCTGTACAGAAGCTGAATTCTGGAGCAGAAGAGACGGACCTGCAGGAATCTGTGAAGACGGAGAGCCGGTGGAAAGTGTGGGTGAAGGTGAGGAGGCTGAGCTGGGGAGGAGAGACCCGGTCCCAGACTCTTGCAGCTCATCATCCATTCCTTTGTCTGTATGTCAAATCGAATCTCCCTGTATCACCCAGCGTAAGGGGCTGCACCCTGGCCTCTCGGAGTAGTTTCTAAAGGAAAAGGGACAGCCTTTTCCCTTTACTTCTCTTATCTGTATTCAGTATACACCCCATCTTACCCTCCCCATTTTTCTTACCTCCTCTCCATCCTCTTTCCTTTCTATACATTATAGTTGGTTTTGTGCCTGTTCTTTCATATTTCTCCCCTCCTGTGGTTCTATTTTTCTCTTAGACTTGAAACTGGATGTCTGTCTTCTGTATGTATACAGATTCCCTGAGTCTTTCCTGCTCTTCCAGAAGCCAGTCACCTTTGAGGATGTGGCAGTGAAATTCACCCAGGAAGAGTGGGAGTGTCTAGATGCCATTCAGAGGGTCCTCTACATGGATGTTATGTCAGAGAACTTCAAAAACTTGGTGTCTGTGGGTAAGATGTTAGAGTTCCCTCAGCAGTCCCTGTCCCAGGACACTGGACATCCGGTTTCCCTGGGCAGGTAGATCAGCTCACAATTGGCTTCACTGACCCTTGGTTCTATACCTTCCAGGTGTGACATATCTGTCACTAAGCTCAGGGTAAAAGGAAAAGAAATAAAAGCCTAGACAAAGGCAAAGATAATGCTTGTAACATGATGACAGTGCTTTTGAAATATGCCAATTTGCTTATTGATCCAACAAAGAGTTACTGAAACACTCCTGTAATGTATCGGGCACTTTGTTAGGAGCTGGCCTTTTGAGTGTCTCCTCTCTGCATCTAAGAGTCACAGGTCATGTTGCTTAAAATCACAGCCATAGCAGTATGTAGTCTGTTTTCCCATGTGGTAGGGAAAGGCTAACCTTGGAACCTCAACTTTTTCTCTTTTTCTACTTCTTAGACAGATTCTTTCTAACTGATCTAGATCTTGTCACCAAGCATGAGCAAGAAGAGAAACAGGGGAGCACAGATCTCTGGCCCCCAAATGGAGAAGAACAAGAAGAGAAACAGGGGAGCACAGATCTCTGGCCCCCAAATGGAGAAAAACAAGAAGAGAAACAGGGGAGCACAGATCTCTGGCCCCCAAATGGAGAAGGCATCTTACCAGGTAAGAATTGTAAAGGAGGGGTCTCCATTGTAGCAGAGGGGTTAAAATCTTGGCTCTATCAAGCTATGCCTGCCATTGTGACAAAAGTTCGATCCCCTACCAGGGTGCAGCAGACCTCCTCTTCTGTTTTGCCTGTTGCTCCCCTCAGCAGTGTATTTCAGTAGATCTGCCTGTTCCCCAACTCTGTCTCTGGTGAATCCTCTTACCTCCCCATACCTCTGGCCTATACCCCAGTTCTTTTATGCATAAGTAAATAAAAAGAAATCTTAAAAAAAAGGAATTGCCAAGGAGAGCGGAAACTGGACGGATAGAATGCTTCCTATATATCCTCTGTTGGCTTGTGTCCTGCCAACCTGCTCAGACTTGGAGTTGGAAGACAGCTTGAGATCATCTCTTGAGTCCCTTAGATTCAGGAAACAACGTGGGACAAATGAATATCTTTAGCTTCTAGGAATTGAGATGCTACATATATATTGCTTATGCTAGTGATATGCCTTTGATTAAAATAGTCCTTCCCAAGAGAAAAGAAAAGGAAAGGAGGTAAGCTTGATGCTGACTGAGTTGGAGTAGGGAGACATGTTCCTGAGAGAAGAAAAGGACAGAAAAGAAATTTAAGGTCAGGCTGACCACATCTCCTGGTTTGCCAGGACCATCCTGGCTTGTATGTCTCATCCTTGCATGTTTACTAATTAACCTCCTTTCACTTGGGCATCCCAATTTATATGATAAATTATGAGTCACTTGTGGGTGTCTTCATGTATGTGAGCAATACTGCATACGAGAGGAAATAGATTTTTAAGAAATGTGGCTAAAGGGTAAATATTTTATCTCTGATATTAAATTTTTATTTGCTTTTAATTTGAAACCCCTAAGGTTTATTCTTCTCTAGTCTGTGAGGTCCAAGAATGAATATGTTGGGTGGGAGAGTGGGGCAGGGAGGGGAGAAATATCTGGGGCTGAAGGGAGAGCTTGTGTTGTGGTTCTCATGGGGAATCGTGTGTTATTCTTCCACTTTCACTACAGAAGTCAAAAAGGAGGAAATGAAGGAACAGAGTCTGAGTCCGAGAGGTGAGGGGACCAGCGATGACAAGGACTTTGTTTGCAAAGGGGTAGGCCCATCCTCTGCTCCAGCTGGGTCTGTGGATGGGACACCAGAGCTCCCAGCATCCGGGACTGGGCCACCCTTCTCCTGCCCCACCTGTGGCAGGTGTTTCAGCAAGCTCTCCAACCTCCACAGCCACCAGTTTGTTCACAATCCCAAGAGGACTAACAACTGCAACCAGTGTGGGAGGTCATTTCGGAACCCCAAGGCCCTCAGCTACCACAGACTCATGCATCTTGGGAAGAAGCCCTTCCATTGCTCAATCTGTGACAAAACCTACTGCGATGCTTCTGGACTGAGTCGTCACCGCCGTGTCCATCTGGGTTACCGGCCCCATTCATGCCCCTTCTGTTCGAAGTGCTTCCGGGACCAGTCTGAGCTCAAACGCCACCAGAAGAAGCACCAAAACCAGGAGCCAGTGGCTAGAAACCAGAAGCATATTGTGAGGATTCCAGGCACCAAAGTTGGATTCCAGAAACATATTTTCAGGAGCCAAATGTCCGCACAGGGACTTACCACCGGAAACCACACACTAGTGGCCAGGACCCAGGAGCCCAAATTTAGAACCAAGGGTCCTGTGGCTCAGCTCCAGCCATGGACAGACAGGAGCCAGGCACCTCTAGCCAAGAACCAGGTGGTCATTGTACGAACTCAAGCTCCAGTTCATACAACTTTAGGGTCTGCCACCAAGAGCCAGGCGCCCGACACCAGAACTTCCTGCCTGGATACCAGCTCCAACTCTCACTCAGAAAAGCTTTCAAAACGCAAGGTTTTTTCTTGCCCTCACTGTCCCTTGACTTTTAGCAAGAAAACTTATCTCTTCAACCACCAGAAGGCCCACCTCCCAGAGCAGCCCCACTGCTGCTTCCACTGTGGCGAGTCCTTTGGCTCATTCTCTGGGCTGGCCAGGCACCAGCAGACCCACTGGAAGCAGAAAACCTACTGCTGCCCTGTGTGTGATGTCTGCTTTGGGGAGAAGGAGGGCCTGGTGGGTCACTGGGTCCGTCCCAATAAGTGCTGGGTGATCCTGGGGCAGAGGCTTGGCTTCCCCATGGCAGGGGAGGAAAAGACTCTTCCAGGATCCATACCCCAAGGGGGAAGGGGAGAGGTCAGGGAGAAGGCAGGTGGAGGGGAGAAAGCAGATGAGGCAGTGAGGGTCGTGAAACATAAATAAATGGCCTTTCTGACTGAGGTCTTTCTTTGTGTTTGGTTTTCCTGAGGACGGACCTCCAGGGCAAGAAGGATGCAGTAGAGAGAAGATAATGAAGTGCAGAAAGGAAGGAAAGGGGCATGAGGTGGCACACAGAAACTCATCATTAATTAGCACCCAGCTTGTTTCTTTGTGTCCGATAGATCATCGAGTAGTAATTGTTGAGTAAAACAGTGCATGCGCTGACAGGTATGAAGATGGGAGCAAAAGGAGAGAGGAGGGAGGACCCTGAGGGCCCGTCAGTACAGGAGGTGGCGGTGAGCTGGCTAAAGCAGGGGCACTGCCAGTTCTCATCCCTTGGCTGCTGGGACGAGATGGATACTATGGGTCTCCCCAACTCCAGTGTTGGGTAGAGAGCTCATATCCTGACCCTGCAGCTCTCTTCGCTCTCTCTTTGAGAGTTTGGACTCTTCCTGTTCTTTCCCCTCTACCCTCTACATCTCCAAGCACTGCCCATGAGGGCTGAGGTCATGGAAGAAACACAATAACATTGGCGCACTGTCATTTGCTAGAACGAGGTTCCTGGTCTGCATGATTTTCAGCACAGAGACCCTCCCGTCAGGGCACTCTTCAGCAAGGGGAACTCTGGGAGAGAGAAGAGCACCGGCCTGGCCACGGCCAGAGGGCTTCAGGCGGAGGACCAGAGAGAGGAGTGGGAAGGTTAGGAGAGCAGAAAGGGGCAAAGAAAGGAGCCCGGGGAACGGATGAGAACAGGTAGATGACAGAAGAGAAAGCAGTCCTGTTTGGAAGTCAGAGCATTCCTGGAAGTGGAGGTGGGAATGTCCCTGTGGTGAGGAGACCAGTGAGTATTCCACTTGATGAGGCGACTTCCCCAAGGACCACTCCTTGGACATACTGGGCTCGCCTTCACCCCTGCCAGATGCAACATCACTCAGAAGGGGTTTCCTAGAAGGAGGAGGAGGAAAAAAAAACTTGAAAAATCTATCAGTAGCTTCCATCATGAAACCATTAAACTAGGCAGGGAAAAGGCCCCTGAGGCTGCTGTAGGGAAGGGCATTGGCGTGGAGGCGGGCCCGAGGGATGCGGCAGTGGAGCAAGTCAGGCAGCAGCCGAGCGCCCCAGTGTCCTTCCTGCCACCTGTAAAACTTGTCACTAACAGCTGGCTGCCTCTGATTCCACCTCACAGGAGCCTTCCTCCACCTCTGCTCTGCAGCCCCCCCTTTCCTCTGGGATCTTTATCCCTTAACCGTGCACCCCTTCTCTTGTGCTGCCCTGACCCCACACCCCAACTTATAAGAAGAAGAGAACTTACTTAGCTCTTCAAGAAATTGCCCTGCAAACAAAGAAAAACCAGTTGGTGGCTGGTAGAAGATGACTCGCTCCTCCCTGCATCTTCCCTGGCGAGGTTCATAGTGACCCACCCTTCCCTTCCACAAAGGGACCCCAGACATCTCAGTAGTCCTCTGAGAAGCCTAGGCAGTCCAGGGGGCAGCAGGAAGGAAACCCTGGGCTCAGGGGTGCGTTTGCTGCCCGGGCACTGCACCTGCTAGTCTCCGATGCAACCAGTTGTAGCAGATGATCAAGGCGACCAGGGGTCCGAGCACCGGCACTATTACAAACAGGGTTATCTTCCAGCAGGGCACCCTCAGGAAGTGGGGATCTGGATTGTTGACCACAGAACAAACAGGATTAATGTGTTTTCCAGATGCCCATCTTGTCCTCTCCATTTTATATTGGGGTTTCTCAACCTGGGGTCCATGAACACTGAAGGAGTTCCTGGGATCTAGGGAATAAGTCCATGAAATTAGGTGGAAAAGGCACTATGTCTTTGTTTCCACAAACCTTGATTGAATTTAGCATTTTCTTCCATAAAAGTGTAATCAACAAACCTGTGACCTCACTAATGGAAACCACAGATACTCTCATTTCATTCCAATTAAAGTTGCAGAAATTTCAAAATATTGTGTAGGTTTATATTTTGAAATGACAAGCTATCAGATCTGCCACATTGTTATTTAATGTATTTTATTTAAAAATCATTACTATATGGGCCACAGGTGAGGGTCCCACATGGCATGACAGACCTCTCCTGCTGTGCCCGCTGCTCCCCTCAGCAGTGTATTTCGTCGGTCTGCCTGTTCTGTTCCCCACTCTGGCTCTGGTGAATTCTCTCACCCTCCCGTGCTTCTGACTGTACCCAGTGCTTGTATAAATAAATAAATAAATAAATCTTTAAAATGAAATAAAAGCCATTACTATATCACAAATATGTTTCTATTTTAATAATGATAGAACAATATAGTGATTTTCTTTGTACTCTATCTTTCTATGTATTTTGTTTCATGTGTACATTTAAATATTCTGGAAAGGGATCCATTAGAATCCACCATTCTGGCAAAGATATTCTTGGTACAAAAAAAAAGTGAAGATCTTTGCTATTTGAGTATTATAACAAAGATCTTTTTTCTTCCCTTCAGATGTGCAAAAACCCTGTGTATGTTGGGGGGGCGGTTGTATACACTGATACTAGCTCACTAGGTGCCAGAGATGCCAGTGGCCCTAGAAGAAAGGCTGCTGAGGCTGTTCAGGAAGGCTGCTCAAAGCAAGGTTCATCTCTGGCCTGATTTAGGACATAATTTCTAGAAAATCCACTCAACAAATATTTGAGTGCCTTTCTATAGTAGGCATTAGGCATTGACCTGAGACATAGCAATCTGCAGTGAACAAAAAGGAACAAACAAAAAAGAATTGAGTCATTGAGGTTTCAATATTTTAGTGTGGCTTGGTATCTTTATTCTTTCTCCAAGAAGCCTTCCCTGGTTACTCATGTATTGTTACTTGTCCTGCACACATGAAAATTCATTCTACTGTGTTGAGTTCAGTCTATGACATATATATAATTTTGTTCTCCAGTTAGTTTATACACTACCTCCCCAACTAGACATCAAGTTTATGTGCAAAAGATATGTTTACCTCTCCTTTGTAATTCGTGAAAGGAGAAATGACATGCACAACGTGCTTCTAATCCCTTCCAAATGAGTAAGCATCAAAAGCTGTTCAGGGGCCTCCCTGGAGGCGCAAGGGATTAAGATGCAACCTATTAAGCTAGCCGCAGCCACTGCAGCACGAGTTCCATCCCCAGCCAGGGAGCAATCCACATGACACAGCAGACCTCTCCTGCCTTGCCCGCTGCTCCCCTCAGCAGTGTATTTCAGTCAGTCTGTCTGTTCTGCTCCCCACTCTGTCTCTGGTGAATCCTCTCACCCCCCACACCTCTGGCCTGTACCCCAGTTCTTGTATGCATAAATAAATAAATCTTAAAAAAAAATGCTGTTTATGTAGTGAATGCCTGGCTCAGAAAAGTGTACTGTAAGTACTTGCTATAATCTTACCAATCCCCCAAGCAGATGATGACTAATCAAAGAAAAAAAAAGAGAGGAAGGAGGGAAAGAGAAAGTCTGCAACTTGGGACCAGAAGTCCTTGTTTCCCCAGATGTTGGGGAACTAGTGTAACACCTAGCTGACCTGCGAGGTTCAGGCCGCCCAGCACTTACCAAAAGTCCGGTGGAGATTCTCTAAAAGAGAAAGAAATGGAAAGGGACTTAATAGGGCGTTCAAAGGCACTCTTAAGCCACTTAAAATAGTTTCTAGTCATGAGTGCCCTGGGAAAGGAAGGAAAGCTATAGGATTTTACTTCTACCCTGGCTGAAGGCAGGGAAGGGGAATGAGATTTTGGACAAGTCTTGGTTGCTCATAGGGAGGTTTTGAATAATAAAGGGAGCAAAAGGTGTTGGGACTGCAGAGGTGGCCTGAGGAAATGACCATTTCAGTTATGCCAAAAGACCAGGAAGGAGACCTCGGGGAGGGAGGGTGACTGGAACTCACCAATCTCTGCTCGAAGTTTCCCTGAAATAGAAAAAGGCAAATTTTTAGTTCCTGCACTGGCAGTAGGTGGGGCCCTGCCACACCAAGCACCGGGCCTTAGTGCAGGCCACTTCTTGTACCCCAGGGTCATCCTGGGGAGGGCAGGAAGAACTCTGGATTTGCAGTCTAGAGTTACGCTCTCCCTGGCCGTTGTCTGGATTAAATGTTGGGTTAAGGAATACAGAGAACTCAGAAACTACTCTTTGCTTTTGTGTGTGTGTGTGTGTGTGTGTGTGTGTGTGTGTGTGTGTGTGTGTGTGTGTGTGATTTTCGGTTCCCAGTGTTACACCACCTGCTGTGTTGTCACTTTGTAAATCTAAAGCCACTTTCCAACGGAATGAGGAAGGGAGCAACTAACCAAATGCTGGGCAGACACTCTGTGACAGGTTATGTGCTGGGAGCTTTGGGTGACATTACCCCTGCAGGAGGGAGGGTCTCTACTTGACTGACCTGGAAACTGAAGCTTGGAGGGTTCAACCCATGCCTGAGCTGGAGTCAAACCTAAGCTGCCTAGCTCTGCCCATCATGTTCTTTGTGCTCAGCCATGTGGACTGGAGGTCATTTTCACGTGGGAGAAGTGAGCGTTGGGAAGAATTCAAAGGGAGTGAACAAACCCCATTGGTGATTCCACCAGTGTCCTCCCTCACATACCCTAGCCCTCCTTGTTGCTTTATCTTCCTAGTAATGGCAGAGGGGAAAGAGTTGAAGGTGCTGCACGGTTGGCACCTAGGCGAGTACTCGGTGGGGTAAGAAGGCTCAGAATGGGGCCTCCCTGGTGCCGCAAGGGGTTAAAACACAACCTATGAAGCTATCCACAGCCTCTGCAGCACAAGTTGGATCCCGGCCGGCCAGGGAGCTACCCACATGGCACAGCAGACCTCTTCTGACTCGCCCGCTGCTCCCCTCAGCAGTGTACTTCAGTCAATCTACCTGTTCTGTTCCCCACTCTGTCTCTGGTGGATCCTCTCAGCCCCCAGCTGGCCTGTGCCCCAGCTCTTGTATGCATAAATAAATAAATCTTAAAAAAAAACACAAAACCTCAGAATGGAAGGCCCTACATTGGAGCTGAAATTGAATTAATGGAAACAAATATGAAAACAAAATCTGAGCATCTATTAGGTGGGGAGGGCTTTTATTTTTACAGAATGCCTCACCTTCCTAAGTCTAGAGCTGTCTGACTCTGAAGCTCACACTTTCCTCATTATATGAAGCTGATGGGTATGGTGTGGGGCTGGAGGAGGGAGGCTTAGGCCTGAGCTATGCCACTTACAGGCTGTGTTTGCTTGAGTAAATCACTGAACCTCTCCAGCCTCAGTTGCCTCCTCTGTAGAATGGGCTTCTATATGCCAGCCCTACCGCTTAGGGAAATGCAAGTCTTACAATTTGTATGAAAGCATTTGGTAAACTTCATTGTGGAATTATGAATCCAGACATCACTTGAAAATAAATGTTAGTTGACCAAGTTCTAAGGCACTATCTCATTTCAAGGATGGATCCCAGGCCCCCACCCTCTAGTCTATACCTCTGAGTCTGTGCTGCAGGCAGAGGAAGACAAGGCCCACGGTGATCTGCAGGAGGAGCACAGGCAGCACTGCCAGGAGAACCAGCACCCAAGGGTTGATCCAATAGAAGGGATCTGAAAGGCAGAACCAAACCACATCCTCAAACCAGCAGTCCCAGGGGCTCCAGGACCCAGTTGGATAAAGGCACAAATATCACCAAGATTCAAAGAAGATGATACAGAATTGACCCCTGAACTCAGCCTTGAGGGAAATGTGGGTCTTGGAAGGGCTAGTGGTTTATAATGATGGGAGGCGAGGTTATATTTTGGGCCAGTCATGGAGAGTTTTGAGAACTACCTAAGGGATTAAGACCTGATTCTTGGGCCTCCCTGGTGGCACAAGGGGTTAAGCACAGCACTGTAAGCTGTCCCACAGCCTCAGCTTGGGATCCTTGTGTACCTCTATGTGCTTGAGGATCAGGTCTTTTTTTTTTTTTTTTTTTAAAGGATTTATTTGTTTATGCACTCAAGAACTGGGGTAGAGGCCAGAGGTTGGGGGAGGCAGGGGGGTGAGAGGATTCACCAGAGACAGAGTGGGTGCAGAGGAGGCAGATCTACTGAAATACAATGTTGGGGGAGCAGTGGGCAAGACAGGAAAGGCCTGCCGTGCCATGTGGTACCTCCCTGGCTGGCCAGGGATTGAACTCGTGCTGCAGAGGCTGTGGATTGCTTCACAGTGCTGTGCTTAACCTCTTGCACCACCAGGGAGGCCCCCCATATCTTATTATTTCAATACTTTGATAACTATTTTTCAGTACAAAATTTTTTTTTATGCATTTAAAATATGCTTCTGAGGAACTCTCCTACACTGCTGGTAGGAGTGCAAACTGGTCCAACCACTATGGAAAGCTGTCTGGAGCTTCCTCAGTCTATTAAAAATGGAGCTACCACATGACCTGGCAATTCCACTACTAGGGATCTACCCAAAGGACACAAAAATATTGATTCAAAAGAACACCTGTATCCCTATGTTTATTGCAGCACTATTTACAATAGGTAAAACCTGGAAACAACCCAAATACCCAAAAATAGATGACTGGATCAAGAAGATGTGGCATATATACACAATGGAATATTATTCAGCAATCAAAAAAGATAAACTCATGCCATTCGCAGCAATGTGGATGGAGCTAGAAGGGATTATGCTCAGTATGCTCAGTGAAATAAGCCAGAAGGAGAAGAAAAATATCAGATGGTTTCACTTATAGCAGGAATATAGGGGAACCAAATAAGACATTAGTGGAAAAAAATAATAACAGTACAAAACACAACAAAGCAAAACCAGACAATTATAAACCAGAGACATCCTGCAGGGGAGGAGAAAGGAGAGGGATCAGAGGGAGGGAGTGAGGGAGGAGCACAGGGGACTGAGGTGAGGATGCATGGGTGAACTGGGGAAGGAAACTCTATGGGGACTATACCTGAGGGGGTGGGGGGAAGCAAATATTCTTTAAAAATGAACAATGATGTAAAAAATTTTAAAAAAATCAGAAAAAGAAAAAAAAAAGAAAAGCATTTTTAAGATCCACACCCCATGCCCCCCTTCAAAAAAAAAAATCCTTTTGAGATGGGGCCTACCAACTTCACCAGTCTGGCAAAGGGGCACATAACACACAAAAAGATCAAATCTGGAGATTTTGAGATAGGTAGAACACAGGATTTTGTACCTGAGAGGATGTGGTATGGGACAGGTAATGAGGGAAGGCATGACCCCTCAGTTGTCCAGCTCCCACCTATTTCTAATTCCAGGTTGCTGCTCAGTGCCCAAGAGCTCCACCTGTCTAGGCTCAATGCAACTTGCTGTGGGTCAAGCCCTTTCATCTTGTTCTCTGCTTTAGGAGGCTAGATAAAGACAGTGCTTTCAGGCATAGGGATTGAGTCACAGCAAGCGACATTAAATTGGCCCAGGATTTCTAGGTATAAAAACAATCCTTCAAATTGCAGATTAAAGCTCCAGTCTGTTATTTAGTTCTCCAGAAGAAAACACAATAAACTCTGCTTTCAAAGTTCTTATTGAAAGTGACCTGTAGCAATGTAGGTTAGCAAGTGCATACCTTAGGTCTTTTTTTTATGTACATCTTTTTTATTTCCACAAAGGATTAGAATATCACAGAGAAAAGGGGATATTAGGAGTCTTCTGCTGTAAAGCAGTAAGAAGTATACAATAGGATCTATGAAGTATGCTTGACAAAGTAAATCAAACCTGAATCTAATCATGGATCTGTATGAGTTTACAGGGAATACAGGGCATGGGCCACATTTAAACAGCAGATTGGAAGAGAAATTAGCAAAATCTAGAACACAGGGAGCTCTACAGAGCAAACACCACTGTGTGGCTCCTGTTTGGATCCAATGCAAACAACCCAATTGCAAAAGTATAATTATGAAACAAAGGAAAATTTGAACACAAACTGTATATTAAGAGTTTAATTTTCAAAGATGTGACAATAGTACTATTGTTATGGTTTCTAAACATAGTTATTATATTTGAGTACTACATTCTTGAGGATTTAGCAATGAGATAATTCTGTCTAGGATTTGTCAGAGTCACTGCACTGGGGAGGTGTCAAGCGAAACAGGCCTGAGTGGGCGATTCCTGAACTATTGCTGGAGATGATGGCTACTTGGAGGCTCGGTATAGATTCTACTTCTGCCTGTGCTTTAAAGTCTCATAATGGAGGGTTTGGAGATGAGCAATAGCTAGTATGAAATCCCAAAAATGACAAGGGAAGGCCTTCCTGGTGGCACAAGGGGTTGAGCACAGCACTATGAGCAATCTGCAGCCTCTGCAGCACGAGTTTGATCCCCAGCTGGCCAGGTAGGTGACTCACATGGGGCAGCAGACCTCTCCTGTCTTGCCCGCTGCTCCCCTCAGCAGTGTATTTCAGTCAGTCTGCCTGTTCTGCTCCCCACTCTCTCTGGTGAATCCTCTCACCCCCGCACATCTGTCCTGTGCCCCGGCTCTTGTATGCATAAAAATAAAAAATAAATCTTTTAAAAAAAAAGGACAAGGGAAAATAAAGTCAGGTAGAAAGATCAGAAACTCTTTAGAGAAAGAGGGGAGGCGGGTAACAGGTGAAACTTCAGTAGCAGTAACAGCTGCCCTTGCCAGCCCCCACCCCAAATAACCTTCCGAGTTGGTTGTTTCTACTTTTGGGTGGGGTGGCGGAGGCTAGTGGAAACCTGTGCTGCGTTTCACTTTAGTTTTGTCTCAGTTCCAGGGTCTCTAGGCCAGAAGGGACAATTCCTTTCATTTGTAAAATAGTCTCACCTTTTTCCTTTTCTTTCTTCCTTTTTAAAATTTTACTTATTTATTTATTTGTTTGTTTATTTTGCTTTTTGTTTTTGAGTATGAAGAGTATGGGGAGGATGGAAGGGGTTTGGGACATGGAAACTAACCCAAAGGGGAACTTTTTTCCTCAAGGCTATCAGACTTCCTTGCAGGTAAAAAAATTCCCCCAATAAAAACAGTTGTCTGAGGAACACGCTGTGACACACAAAGCTGTTTTCATATCCCTGCACTGGTCTCTAGAAATAGTGCTTTGTTACCCCGGGCACAATGCCTCTTCTGCTGGCAGAACTGCAGCAGTTGCCCTGGAGACACAAAAGTGATTGATTGGATGTTTGTGCTGCAGGTGGGAAGGACAGAAAGCAAAGGGACCCCTCAAAACACTTTTGTTCTTCAATTAAATAGCCATTAACTTTAAAGTTTGTCTACTTGTCTTTATCTCAACTATCCTAGGATAACAGAAAATTAAAAAATCCAAGATTATAATGAAAACATCAATGGAGATAAATTTTAAAGGTGGCATCTCTTTCTTTTTTATAATTATATGCAGATATTTGTTTATTCACTTGGACTACATTATTGAAATGTATATTTCAATAATGTTCCTTCTCTAATGAAACTCCATAAACATATCAATTGAGAAATTCATTGTAATAATTGATTAATCTGACTTGTTAAGAACCATGCTCCTGGGACCTCCCTGGTGGTGCAAGGGGTTAAGACACAGCACTATGAAGCTATCTGCAGCTACTGCAGCACAGAGTTCATTCCCTGGCCAGGAATGTGACTCACATGGTGCAGCAGACCTCTCCTGTCTCACCTGCTGCTCCCCTCACCAGTGTATTTCAGTAGATCTGCCTGTTTTGCTCCCCACTCTGTCGCTGGTGAATCCTCTCACCCCCTGCACCCAGTCCTGTACCCCAGTTCTTGTATGCATAAATAAACAAATCTTTAAAAAAAAAAAAAAATAACCATGCTCTTGGTTATGACAAACAAAAGACATTCCAGAGCAAAACAAAATATCCAAGGTTGGGCTTCCCTGCTGTTCTAGAGGTTAAGTCTAGTCTCAGCATTATCACCACTAAAGGCCTGAGTTCAATCCCTAGCCAGGGCGCTACACACATGGCGCAGCAGACCTCTCCTGTCTCACCTGCAGCTCCCCTCAGCAGTGTATTTCAGTAGGTCCGCCTGTTCTGCTCCCCACTCTGTCTCTGGTGAATCCCCTCACCACCCCCCATCTCCACTTACCTCTGGCCTTCTCTGTAAAAATAAATTAAAAAAAAAAGTATCCAAGGTCCAGTTGGACACTTTAACTTTCAGGTTATTCACACCCCTCCCCCCTCTAGTAGCACAAAATAATCAGAAATTGATTGTTTATAATCAGGAATGGATTATTTTGGATTTTCCTGTTTCACTTCATTTTTTCTTAAAGCATTTTCTGCTTTTGTAATGGACATCCGTGAGCATGTAAATTCCATGTATGGATGTGCTTCTTTCTATGGAATCAGTTCCCGGGAGTGAGATGTTTGGGTCGAAGGATCTCATCTCGATTGAGAGAAGGATTGGTCTTGAAGTGAGGTCTTGGTTAACCAACAGGTAGTGCTTACTATCCCATCACCCTACTCACCTTCCACTTTCAGTTCCATTGCTGCCTCCTCTTGGTAAGAATGATCTCGGAAGAAGCAGGTGTAACCTCCTTCGTCTGAGAACCTTACATTCCGGATCTTGAGCGTGACCTTTCCCTCACCAATGTGCTCTTTCAGCAGCTCTGTCCGGCCCCGGTATTCAGGTGCCTGCTCTCCATCTTGGTCTTTGCCATTTCGGTAGAGATGGACCACCCTAGAGAAGGGGGGTCGGTACCACCCCACCTCCATGCCTGTGGCGTTCTTGCCAGGGGTTATGCGGCATGGCAATTCTGCTTCATCTCCCACAAGAGCCCGGATGGGGTGCCTTGGTCCTGTCACTCTGAACTGTCCTGTCCAAGACACCAAAAACCAGAGATTAAGTCTGAGAGGGAAGCTGGACAAGCATGTCATCAAAACGGGGAAGGAAAAGATCACTCGATTCTTAAATGGAGTTTAGAGTAAATGTTTTACATGACATGTACGTGTGTGAATGTGCACACTCATATATGTGGTTACTGAGCTCCCTAGACAGACTGTTCTAGCATGTGGTCGTCTTGACAGTTGCTGCTCACCTCTCAGCCAGCTGCATCCACCTCTGACCCTGCAACCCAGCCTCCAGGGCACAGCTTGAAGTCTCCTTGTACCAGGCATTCCGTGTTCACAACTGGCCGAATTGATCCCTTCCCTCCCATTAGGTTTTGCTTTTTCTTACTCCTCTACCACCTCTAATCCTCTGTCCTCATTCACACCGTATTCCAAAATTCCTGTCCTCCAGGGCCTCCCTGGTGGCCTAGAGGTTAAGTCTTAGCCCTATCGCTACTACCACTTGAGTCTGATCCCCAACCAGGAAGCTGACCCACATATAGTGCAGCAGATCTCTCCTGACTTGCCTGCTGCTCCCCCCAGCAGTGTATTTCAGTCAATCTGCCTGTTTTGTTCCCCACTCTGTGTCTGGTGAATCCTCTTACCCCCACCCCGACACCTCTGCTCTACACCCCAGTTCTTCTACAAGATAAATAAATATTAAGGGCCTCCCCGGTGGCGTAGCGGTTGAGCATTGGGTTGCGAAGTTGCCTGCAGCCTCTGCAGCACCGGTTCGATCCCCGGCTGCTCCCCGACCCCCGGAGGAGGGTCCCACATGGCACGCAGACCTCTCCTGCCGCCCGCTGCTCCCCTCAGCAGTGTACTTCGGTCCTTCTACCTGCTCTGCTCCCCGCTCTGGCTCTGGTGAATTCTCTCACCCTCCTGTGCTTCTGACTGTACCCAGTGCTTGTATAAACAAATAAATAAATAAATAAAAATAAATCTTAAAAAAAAATAAAAAAAAAATATTAAAAAAATATATATAGGGCCTCCCCGGTGGCGCAGCGGTTGAGCGCTGGGTTGCGAAGCTGCCCGCAGCCTCTGCAGCGCCATTTCGATCCCCGGCTGCTCCCCGGCCACCGGAGGAGGGTCCCACATGGCGCGCAGACCTCTCCTGCCGCCCGCTGCTCCCCTCAGCAGTGTACTTCGGTCCTTCTGCCTGCTCTGCTCCCCGCTCTGGCTCTGGTGAATTCTCTCACCCTCCCTCGCTCTGACTGTACCCAGTGCTTGTATAAATAAATAAATAAAAAAAAAATAAATCTTAAAAAAAAAAAAAAAAATATTAAAAAAATATATATATCTTAAAAAAAAAAATTCCTCCCCTCTAAGCCCTTCCACCCTGGAAGTGACTCTGTTTGCTCCTTCTTTTCCTCTGTGCTGTCAGGCCTCACTATAGCCCTCAGCCCTAGCCCTGCTGCTCCCAGTCTTTGTCCTGAGTCTCCTCGTCAGGCTGAGAGCTTAGATTCCCAAAGGAGGGCCTGGGCTGGGCCTCTGTCAATCAAGTGGCTCTGAGGTTGGAACCTGTTCCTTTCATTTCTCCCAGCACATGAGAGCAGGGCTCCTCTGTAAAAACTTTTCGTGCAGAGCAGAGCTCCCAGACATGACCAGATACTGCAATTCAAGCCATATTTACCAAGGTTTGCTATGGGATAGGCACCACTAAGCACTTAACCTGACAGCAATGCCAAAGGCTGTTATTATTATTGCTCCACTTGGGCAATAAAAGCCAGAAAGATAGATGAGAAGTAAGTAGCTCAAGGTGAAGCTTGAGGTCAGGTCACACTATTGAGTTTGGGTTCTATTCTGGAGGCTGTAGAGGCTCTGGAAGTTTCTGAGGAGAGGACTAAACTTGTCAGCACATCCATGTTTCAGAAAGTTCTCTTGCCTAGAACTTGAGGATGAATGAAGGACATGGGTCTAGGGAGAGTAGACTTTTGCTGTTCTCAGGGTCTCCCAGGGCAGGAATAAAAGAGAAATCTTACCGGCATTGCTGGAGGACAGCTGGAGGAGGAGGAAGGGCAGGAGGGAGGGGAGGCAGCTGAGTAGAGAGGAGCTCACTAAAGGTGCCATCTCCACTGTCACTGGGGACAGAGAGCCCCTGCATCAGGGTCAGGCCACACAGAGGCCCTGGGATGCATGTCCCCAACTGCTGAAAAAGCCTGAGGGGAGGATCTGGGAGGGCAGGGCTGCTAGGGCCCGCCTCCTTGGTTGTGTTGCAGCTGTGCTCGGAGGTACAGCCCCACGTCATCCTTGCCAGGCACTTACACAAAAGGGCTACAGACCGATGGGCATGACCAGAGTCTGCCTTCCCCACCCGCTCAGAGCTATGGAGCAGAGGCTGCCTGGTACTGGGCCTCCCTCCCCCCTCCTTCCTGGCCACCCAACCTAGAGGGGACTTCTAGGATCTGACCAGTTGGAGCACTCGCTCATTGGACCTCCCAAAGGGGCTTGTTCATGTGATCTATGAGGTTCTTTCAACCCCTCTCCTTTTGGGATTAGTCAAGGAAGAGGGTTATCTTTGACTTTTTTTTTTTTTTTAAGATTTATTTAGCATACAAGAACTGGGGTACAGGCCAGAGGTGTGGGGGTGAGAGGATTCACTGGAGACAGAGTGGAGAATAGAACAGGCAGATTGACTGAAATGCACTGCTGAGGGGAGGAGCGGGCGAGGCAGGAGAGGTCTGCTGTGCCGTGTGGGTCACTCCCTGGCTGGGGATCGAACTTGTGCTGCAGTGGCTGCAGATAGCTTCATAGGTTGCGTCTTAACCTCTTGCACTACCAGGGAGGCCATATCATTGACTTTTTAAAAAGAAAGTTTATTTAAACTCAGCTCCTTATTTCTCATGCCTCACAACTGTCATTGCTGGGCCATTTTTCTTGACGTTTAACCTGCCTTTCTCCTGCTACAAGCCCAAACTCCCTTCTTCCTGTTCAGATGTATGATGGATTGCTGGGACTTGTAAGCGTCTAATTCTCAAAGCACACATTTATGAAGGGCATGAGTTGAACATTATTAGTTGATGCAACCAGATCTTCAAGAGGCGGGCTTGGAGAAGGAAGAACAGCAAAGGCAGTGACTGTCAGTTAGCTCAGGCATGGAGGACAGAGCCAGTACCCAATCATGTCCCCCAGCTGAGCCATCACAGAGGAAAGTGACCTGGAATGGAAGTATGATCAAAATGACCTTTGGGCTCAGCTGATCACCGAAGGGTGAGGCCAGTAGTAGCACCATATTTGAAAAATGCATTTTCCAATCTTATAGCCAGGATGCCTTATCAATTAAACAAAATCGGTGAGAAAATTTCAATCACGCTGTCCAATACAGCAGTAATCGTAAGTGGTCCTTTATTTTTAAAGATTTATTTATTTATTTATTTATTTATTTATTTATGCATGCATGCAAGAACTGGGGTATAGGCCAGAGGTACAGCAGGTGAGAAGTTTCACCAGAGACAGAGTGGGGAGCAGAACAGGCGAACCTACTGAAATACACTGTTGAGGGGAGCAGTGGATGAGACAGGTGAGGTCTGCTGTGCCATGTGGGTTATCTCCCTGGCCAGGGATCGAACTCATGCTGCAGTGGCTGGAGCTAGCTCGATAGCACTAAGACTTTAACCCCTGCACCACCAGGGAGACCCCATAAATGGTCATTTAAATGAAATTAAGCATTCAGTTCCTTGATTGCACTAGGCATATTTTAAATGCTCAGTAACACATGACTAGCAGGCTAGTGGTTCCCTCAGTGGATGGAGCCATTTCCATCAAAACAAAAAATTACATTGGGCAGCACCATTCAAGAGCTGGGAAAATGCCTGGGATATACATTTGCTGCTTTTGTTTATGTGAGCTTACGGAGGTAGAAGGACAGACTGATCAGCTGAGTCTGGAAGTTGCTTATTCTTTCTCCCTGGAAGGCAGCTGGAGTGCAGACACAATGGGTTGACTGTTTTGAAGCTCTGAGCATGAAAGTCAAGGTCAGGAGGGTGAAAGTCAGGGTCAATCAGGTGAAAGAAAAACTTCTGTGCATATCTGACTCAAGTGGGGACTCTTTCTTCCAGAACCTAATATATCCTGGGAGACTTTTCCTCCATAGTGAAATTTCAGATAGGAGATATATACCCAGGGTGCTTTCTTGAGCAGGTTTGGGGGGCCATAGGATACTTGAAATTGTCTACTACCTGTGTCTCCAAAAGCTGAATAGGAAATCAGGTGGAGTGGAGGGTGGGGGAAGCAGAGAGGGTCAGGAGCTGGACAATCAAAGCCACTTTGGAGCAATCACAGCATCACTGGGGGAAAAAAACTCAACACCTTACTGACTGCTTCCATGTGGCATTTCTAAGTGGATTATGTGTTTTACATCACTTAATCAACACAACAATAGCACAAGCATTAAAGCATCATTTTTTAAAAAGATTTATTTATTTATTTATACAAGCACTCGGTACAGTCAGAAGCGCCGGAGGGTAAGAGAATTCACCAGAGCCAGAGTGGGGAGCAGAACAGACAGACTGACGAAATACACTGCTGAGGGGAGCAGTGGGCGCGACAGGAGAGGTCTGTCTCGCCACGTGGGACCCTTGCTGGCAGCCGGGAATTGCACTGGCACCTCAGAGGCTGTGGGCAGCTTTGCAGCTCAGCGCTCAACAGCTGCGCCACCAGGGGAGGCCCCGTTTGTTTTTTTTACAGAGGAGACACTGAGGCAGGAAAGAAGTCAAGGCACTTGTTCAAGGGCACAACAGTAGAGAGTTGCAGAGCTGGGATTAAAGTCAGGTTTTCTAGTGATGTCCAGACTTGCCCAAGACATATCACTCTGGCCTATGGATTATTTTCAGCTGAGGCCAATTAAGGCTCTGCAGGCTCGTGAGAAACTTCTATCTCTTCCATAACTGTCTAGGAAAATGTTAATTGGAGATATTGCCCCAAATTAGGATTTATGTCAGAAATAACCTTTCTGGGCCTCCCTGGTGGTGCAAGGGGTTAAGAAACAGCACTATGAAGCTATCTGCAGCCACTGCATCATCCCCAGTCAGGGAGGTGACCCACATGGTGCAGCAGACCTCTCCCGACTCACACACTGCTCCCCTCAGTGGTATGTTTCAGTCAGTCTGCCTGTTCTGTTCCCTATTCTGTCTCTGGTGAATCCTCTCACCCCCCACACCTCTGGCCTGTTCCCCAGTTCTTGTATGCAAAAATAAATCTTTAAAAAAATAACCTTTCTATCCTAAAATGCTATCTATCTATCTATCTATCTATCTATCTATCTATCTATCTATCTCGCAGGCAAAATTACTCATCTTATGAGTCACTCCCTCCGCATTACCTCTTTGAATCTCAGGACTCCCCCTATTCCTTAGCTGAGGCTATAGAGGTTTCTCACTTTGTCCCACTGGCTTTAGAATCAACACCCACGTGGAGTCTCCATATGTATGTAATTGCATTTGTTCTTTTCTCCTACTCATCCGTCTGATATTAATTTCATTGCCTGACCAGTCCAAGAAGAACCCAAAGGGATGGGGGAAATTTCCTCTTTGCCCCTCCCTACTCTCGCCCCAGGGTGGCACATATAATGACCATTCTGCTCACCTCTGAAGAGCTCAGCTCCTCACCTCCATGCCCTCAGCTGCCTTAACCTCTGGAAAGGGGATGATTTCTGGATCTGGGGTGAGCAGCCCCTTGGGTGACAGGGCCTTGAGGCAAAAGTGATGTAAATCAGAGGGGCCACCAGCAAAAATGAAGCCAGTGGTGGGCCTCCCAGGTGGTGCAGGGTTACAGTTTCAGGGCTATTAAGCTATTGCCAGCCACTGCGGCAAGGGAGTTCGACCGTGGCAAGGGAGTTCGACCCCAGCCAGGGAGCCAACTCGCATGGTGCAGCAGACCTCTCCTGTTTCACCCACTGCTCTCCTCAGCAGTGTATTTCAGTAGATTCACCTGTTCTGCTCCCGACTCTGCCTCTGGTGAAACCTCTCACCCCGAAACCTCCGGCCTATCCCCCCAGTTCCTGTATGCATAAGTAAATTAAAAATAAATCTTAAAAAAAAATGAAGCCAGTGGTGTTGCCATTTACAGAAATCTGGTTGCAGGAGTATCAGGTTTTGCTGGGCAGGAGTATGGGGTAACTGTGCCTGAGAGGTGAAGCTGCCCTGTCAGCCAGGGCTGGTCATTTCCTTCAGTACTAAAATGTAACTGACTTTGCGTAGTATAGGATGTGTGATTTTGTTAGGATTCTCGTTGCTTCTTGTGTTTTGCTTACCATGGTAATTTCCACTGATCTTGTCTGATAATGAGCCCTGAACATGGTAATGTATGCAAAGTGACACTAATACAGTAAGTGTTTATGTTAATGAACATGCTGTGCATATGGGAAACAGTAAGCACACGGTAAATGGCAGCCTACTTAGGTAGTTGCTCAATAACAGTACTGCTGAGGCTTTTTGACATAATGCGTAAAATATGTATTTTACAGAAGTAATAATAGAATAATAGAAGCTGTTCTGCTGCTGGGGTTATTTATTTAATGCATAGTTCCACATGAATACATAATAGAGCTCTCTGGAACTTTAAAAAACAATTATTATTTATTTGCTTGTTCATTCACTTCTGTTTTAAAATCTCAAAGGCATGAAATAAAATAGGTTGAAAGTCATCCAGAATCAACCTGTGTTTTTCCTGACTCCTTCCAAATACACACATACAACACTAGAGGGAGCTTGGAGAGAGTCACTGCAAATGAAGACTAAAGATAGCACTTTCTAGCACCCTTAAAAAAACAAATGACAGCAATCTATCTTGGAGATCTTTCTATATTAGTGCCTCAAGAACATTTTTGTTATTTTATACAGATATACAATATTTTATTGCATGAACATGTTATGCTTATTTAATGAGTCTCCTAGGAACCTTAGGTTGCTTCAATTTTTGAAGTATCTACTTTACTAGGTTGAAATAAAAATGTATTCAACCAATTTAAATTAATAAATATTTAACAGCAAATTCAATGTATCAAGTTTTTTGGTAAGTCTTGGTTATAAATGTTCCAGCAAGGGGCCTCCCTGGTGGCCTACGGGTTAAGT